TAGGATTCAGTGGCATCTAGCCTTCCATGCTTGTAGGAGAAACTACAGTGGCTGCAAAACTCATGAAAAACGCAAGATATCCCTATCCAGAGCCGTTGTTTGGTTTGTCTGTTCTGGGCTACTGTAGAAACATGGTGACTTTTGTGGAAGAGGACCTCTGTAGATAAAAATTACTCATTTTAAGGTAACAAAAACATGCTGATTCTTATTTTTAGATGATTCTACACTAATGAAAACAATAATTAATATTATATTCCATTTCAGCCAATAGATCTTCCTAAATGTAACACAGTGGACCATTAATAGTTGATTGTGCGTAGAACTGGAGCTCGAGGAAATTGTTGTTCTTAGTTTAGACAGTTGCAACTTTGAGGATTTTGGGCCATTTAGGACGGATATTCTGCTCTGCCAGGCTCGATAAATACAGGCCTTGATCCTTTATCTGTCCATCTTTGAGGTTGTAGCCTAGCTTATAATCATTTAAAATGGTGGCATTCAGGGCTTTACGATATTTTGCAGCAGCTCTTCGTAGTCATCTAATCCAAATGTTTAGTTTTAATTGCCCTGATCATCCGACTGTCATGCACCTACAAAATAAAATAATTTCCTTTCGTCAAAAAGAGCTTTTTCTCCTATGCCTAACAGTCAGATCAAGTATTTTTGCTCAGTTAGGGCTGATTTTCTATTTTGAGACATTACAGAAGAGACATACAGACCCTGTATTGAGCCTCAATGACTCACATTGTCTTACAAACTAAAGTCTAAAACAATGTTGAAATGACTGTGAAACTCCCAGCTTCTTTCATAAAACAAAAAGTTAGGAAATGTTAAGCATCCTACAGTCTAAACAGTCCACAGGTTGCTTGCTGCAGGCAGAAGCAAACTACTGTAATGCTCCCAGTCAGATTGATTGCAGCAGAATGGAGGGGGGTGAGCCGCTGCTGTGACACCCAGACAGGAGGGGCACTGTTGAATAGCAGAAAGGAGAGATGAAGTCATCCTTAACCACAAGTAATTCATCCCAGCGTGGTGTTGCTTTACAGTCACTGAATGAGAGTGCTCTCACAGTGTCCTTTTTAGACTGAGCTCGTCCTGTGAAGACCTGTCAGATGACGAAGCCTGTGAGAAACAGTTGCCACGTTAAAGCAAACAGTGATGCAGCAATTTTTGCTGCCAGCATGTTCCCCATGTCAGCCAAATTGACCCTGAAAATACATGTATTTGAAAGTGATTTGTGTTTAAAAACGTATGATTTGCTTTATGCAGTATGAGGAGGCTAAGACGGAGCTGTCAGACCTAAAGGAAAAGTATGAGAAGACTGAGCAGGAAAAACAGTCGCTTAAAGATGAACTTGAGGAGTGCAATGCCAACATGAAGGAATTACAGGAGAAGGGAACAAAGGTGAGTGCTGGTCTATCATACATGCTACAGTTTATGGTTTTTTAAAAAATAAAATTGTATATAATTGTTTGACAAACTTTATCAAGAAGTGCATGGAATGTAGAAATAATGATCTGCAGTTAAGTTTAAAAAAATAAAACTGCACAAAAGCTTTTATTTGCATAAGAAGCAAACATCTTCAGTTGTTTTGGTTTTGGAAGCATGAGCTTTGCTTCAAATTTTAATAAACATCCATTTATTTTGTGAAATATCTCCAGGCACAAAAGGTGAATCAGTTGTAGGATTCACAGTACATTTCTTTTTATGTCAGCACACCTGCTCCCCTGTACTCATCCACTGCCCTTTACTGTTGCTTTTAGACATCGACAGCCGTGTGTGGCTTTGAGAGTTGTATAAACATAAATTACAGACAGACATTGACTGAGAGGTTTATTAATAAAGCTACACCCAACTAAAGTATGTCCCATTGCAGTTGATTACTATAATATCCCTTCCCTTCTGTAGACATCCCTATTGCTGCCTGTTCAAGCCATAGTCATCGGCCTTATCCTGGCTTTGCTGTATTGGTGCTTCGGCGCATTGTGGTAGTAAGGTACACATTACTCCTGTCAACTCGGCCTACATCCTTCATTCTCATCAGTGTCTTTTAGCTCATTGCATGACTTAATCAGGTTTCCCTAATTCCCCAGAATGCCTTCCTTAGGGGGGAAACTCCAAAAATTGACGTCTTTAGAAACTCTAACTTCTCTAATCATACAGTTCCTACATCTGACATCTGTTTGTCTTGTCTGGATGGCTAATGCTTAACAACTGTTTCTCTCAGTTGGCTTATGATTGGCTTATGTTAATCTGAAAGCGCTAACTCGCATTCTCTGTGCACTGCATTGGTCTCAATGGCAAGCTCCCCTCTGTCAAAGCTTTGGCGATCTTTGGATGGGCGGTTTCAAGCGGTGATGCTCATGTTTCCATTTCTGTGTCACCACTCTTTTCAGAAGCCATGGATGATCTGGGGACCCGTGGTTGCTGTGGCTGTGACAGCAGTGACTGCTGCTGTGCTCTTCAGGACCTGAGGGCAACATGCTCAAACACATACACGCAAAATCCATATTTGTCGTCAGATTTCTCCGCACTTGCCCCCTTATCATATCTGCACTATTAATTAGGAGGGCTCATACTAAACACTGTTTAATTTTTAAGATGCTCTATTTTAGATGACAGAGAGGTTAATAAAAGAATGTCTGTCTTGTGTGCAAATGAATACGTTTGTTTGTATGTCTATTATTTGAAGGAAATCTAGTTTACTATCATGACTTATAGGATTATCCATTAATGAATGTAAAGATGCTCTACACAATTAATTCTAAATATATATGATGATATTTTAGGTGGATCACCTGGAGTTTAAACCTCCCTAAATGTAACACGTCTGTAACTGTCAGAATAATAAATGTCTCAATAATGCAGCCCCTGATGGAGTACATGATGAATGCCCCAGATACATAACATCAGTCAGTCAGTGTATGGTTGTGGTGGGCACGTTATCACTCATCATAACTGATATCAATGTAGAAATGGGTAGGAGCCAAACCTGGGGAAGGTATTTCAGCAGGAATATATCTTTGCTGTGATGATTGAAGTGATGCAGCCACAAGTGAAATATTTTAGGTCTGGAAAGATGGTTTTCCTTCATTAACAGAATCTAGTTCAGGACTGTAAGTAGCCAACTCCTGTGTTACTGTTTGCTTCTGCCTTCCATTTAAGATAAGTCTCTCCCATATAGACTGTAAAGGTAAAGAAGATAGACATATTAAATTTACTTTTGTGTTTCTGCACTAGCTTCTGTATATCATATTAATCAGACACACAGATTCAGTTGGCATCCTAGAATCACCCATTTACAATTGCTTTAAAACAAGGAATATACATTTTCAGTCTTATTGCATTGTGTGGTGCTGGTGAAAACATTAAGAAGGGGCCACAGAGATTTGTATTAATAATGGCAACCATAGCCTGTACATCAGTTGTTTACCAAAGGGAAGTCAGTATTACATAACACTATAATTTAAATTCACGTTATTGTGTCACATCTTACAGATACAACAAATCTGGCTTTCATTTAGAGTTTTCTGATGATTATATATATTTGCATGCATTAGAATTTGTGGAAAATCTCAAATTTGAACAATGAACATATTTGTTAATTTGCTGTATTTGTGACTGCTCAGTTTCCTGTGAATGAGTACAAAATCTATGTATTTTGTAAAGAGATGGGAAGGTAGTTTCTTGGGTTTAAAATTCATGATCTACTTCACTAACATGTCAGAGTGACCTCGATTAAAGAGCTCAACCTCATAATTGCACAAGCAGGCAGTCACTGTAGCCACCACGCTTTATAGAGGTCAGACCTGCTGCTGTTCTGTTGCTTCTGAATCATTCAAATCATTGCAACCCTGTAGAGGAACAATGAGTGCATGTAACATGTATGAGGTAAGCTCTTTTTCATTTTTAATATTAGGTGATGGGTAATATATTTTGAGAAATATTTTTTGCTTCTACTCTCCAGCAAAGTGATCTTCTCATATCTCATATTTCCTGTTTTACCTCCCTCTAAAAGCTCCCTGTACTGCGGATGGCATTTAAAGATGCTGATTGATGCTGACAGGCAGGAGCACAACGTTTCCCTTTAAGAGTTTGGTTTTCTCAGGTGAGTACGTCAGCTGGCCAGCAATGCACCATGGAAAAAGACAGAGCATACCCACAGTATACACAGTGGTACAGTGAATACATACGGTGTTTGGACAGACTAATTAGTGCCTTGTTAGCCTTTTGGAGGTACTGGAGCACAGTAAGATGACCAGGAGATGATAAATATCTCTTGCAGATGAGACTGGGCAGTCAACATGTGAGTCAAAGAAATGTAAACAGCTCAGTCATCTCCCCCACAAAAATACCCCAAACTCTACTTATATAGTATAGTATATAGTCATGGTCCCAGGATTCAGCCTTTCACAACAGGGACCACACCTCATTCTTGTAGGCCTTTAGAGGGTTGAATCGTTAATTTTTTTAATAATTTGATCAGTTTCTAGGTTTTTTAGAAAGAAAATAGTATGTGCCAATGATATGTTTTTTCTAATATTTTGTAAAGGGAAATTACATCTGACAATCTTTTCTCAAAGGAAGACAGTTAACATAATCATTAAATATTTTTGGGGAGCATTTATTGTGTTTAATTGGCCCACTCTGGCACGTGGGGTGCCTCCTCCATCAGGTGAGCTATCAGGGTGCCTCATCATTGCATTATTTACATCCAGTATAGTTTCAGTAAGTAACAATATAATAGTTTTCTTAAAATGAATTAAAAGTTTTACACTGAAAGGTCAGTTTATTTGTCATGAGGAGTATTGCTCAGCTTGTGGATACAGCTGTTTGTCTTATATGGCTCTGCAACAGGCGGACTTGAGGCTTGTGCAAAAAAAAAAAATTGAAATAGGCACATTTTTGATTTCTAATAACCACCTTTAGATATTTCTATTCAGTACTTAACTAATATGCCAAAATAATCTAATGTTTTTGGGTTCAAGTATCATTTAGGGGTTCATATTGTAATTAAATCAGCATATACACTATATGGACAAAAGTATTTGGCCACACCTGTTCATTTTTGAATCCAGGTGTTCCAATCAAACCCCCCATGCCAAAGGTGTAACAATGTGTCGTTCTGAAGAGCTCAGTGACTTCAAGCGTGGTTCTGTGATAAGAGTCCACCTTTACAATAAGACGGTTCATGAAATATCATCCCTGCTGGATATGTCACGGTCAACTGTAAGTGATATTATTAGAAAGTGGAAGCGTTTAGGAACAACAGCAACATGGGCACGAAGCGGAAGACCACGTAAAATCACAGAGCGTCTATGACTGCTAAGGCGCATGGTGCGTAAAAGACGCCAACGCTCTGCTGATTCCATAGCTGAAGAGTTCCAAACTTCCATTGGCATTAATGTGAGCACAAAAACTGTGCAGCGGAAGTTTCGTGGAATGGGTTTCAATGGCCGAGCAGCTGCATGCAAGCTTTACATCACCAAGTCCAATGCCAAGCGTTGGATGGAGGGGTGTAAAGCCCATCATTACTGGACTGTGGAGCAGTGGAAACGTGTTCTGTGGAGTGACGAATAACGCTTCTCTGTTTGGCAATCAGATGGTCGAGTGGGTTTGGCTGATGCCGGGAGCTTCCATCAGTTTGGGGAAGGCCCTTTTCTGTTTCAACATGACTGTACCCCAGCACACAAAGCAAGGTCCATAAAGACATGGTTTGATGAGTTTGGTGTGGAAGAACTTGACCGGCCCGCACAGAGCCCTGTCCTCAACCCCATCCAGCACCTTTTGGAATGAACTGGAACGGAGTTTGCGAGCCAGGCCTTTTTGTCAAACATCAGTGCCTGACCTCATAAATGCTCTACAGAATGAATGGGCACAAATTCCCAAAATCTCCAAAATCTTGTGGAAAGCCTTCCAAGAAGAGTGGAAGCTGTTATAGCTGCAAAAGGGGGACCTACTCCATATTAAAGTATATGTATTTGAATACAATGTCATTTTAGTCCCTGTTGGTATTATGGTCAGGTGGCCGATTACAGTGTCCATATAGTGTATTTCTGCCACCCCTTAAAGTCTCCCTGCCACCTTCTGGCCACCCCATGATTATTTCTCTAGATCCGCCCCTGCAACGGGACTTCCTGGATCATATTTCATCGTCTCACTGTTACCACAACACGCTGTCACCATGCTGCCTCCAGCACGTTTTAACGCATGCTCAAACCCTACTTAGACTTCAGATTTTTCATCAGACTTTTATGATCTATGTTGATGTGACTACTGACTGTGGGGACCTTAACATCTGCTGGAAGATTATAGGGTTACGCTCTCAGTGCAGTTACGCCCTTTAGGCAGGCTGACCACACTGATGGTACTTCTGTGTAACAGGATGCAGTATATTTCTCAACAGGATATCTTGTTTCTACATTTTCAATTTTTGCCACGTTACTGAGTCAGTGTGTATGTGTCATTCATCCTGACACATCTGATCCTCATTTTTGTTGTCCTGCATTGGCTCTGTCATTTCTGTTCTGCAGGGTTTGCTGTCTCAAGGATCCATGTCATGATACAATGTGACGAACAAGATGATGTGGCTAATGTGACGCGAGGCTCAGGCAACCTGGGGAATACACTGTGCATGTGAGCAGATTGAGGACAGCCTCTTTGTCCTATATAAACCAAAATATGAGAATCGTTCCCACGCATGGAGAGCCTCTCTGCAGAGTTGCTGTGTCCATTTGTTCTGCTCTAGTTTGCATGTAGGTCATGTAGTGGACCAGAGCTGCAGCAGAATGGCAACTGCATTAGATGGTACTTTTACTGTGTAATCTTGGGCTTCCTGTAGCTCTAATTTACAATGATTTTGACTACTGTTCAATGCTTAAATCCTTGTTAAACAGAGAGTAGTTAATCAATCGTAATTCAAATTCACAACACCATAAAAAGCTTCAACCTTTTTAACAGATGTCTATTTCAGATGTTATTACCTAAAATATGTGTAATGCATTTCCTGGTACTGAAAGTTTATTTGAAATTGAATTGAGAAGTTTGGAGAAAAATGTCTTTAAAAAAATGTCTGTAACTCTTTTTGGGATTTCACATACTGAGAATTTAAATATTGTACATGTAGCTGAATCTTAATATGCAAATCTTTCCCCTCTTACCATTTCAAAGAAATGTAGCATATTATTTCTTCATAGTTGTGAAACACCACATGTTTTAATATAAAAATATCTGTGTAAAACCAATAGGCCTGCACGTGGAAAAACATCGGCGTGGACCTTAAAATAACACCATTTTAAGTCATTTTGATATACAGAACATACCGTGATCTATCAATACCATATCACCTCTGGAGGGCAGTATGTTCATGGAGAGGCTCTGTGGGTTCATCAGTTCTGTTCTTTCCCCCTCAGTCAAGGAAACCTCCTCAAGGTTAGACAGAGGTCAAAATCTGTAGTCCACAGCTGGATCAGGAGACTGTACAAGCTTCACTGTCAACTGAAGCAGAGCTGATGATGGCTCACACTCTGTGGATGTCATGACACCCAGGGGTCTGTGCAAAAAAGCTCTCAGATCCTCACTACTGACTGCAGACAGGGGACAGTCTACAGTCTGCCTCTATCATGACACCCAGTGGTGAGTTTTGGACTCGAAGCTTCAAATTGGATGTGAATGTATGTGTATGTATTCAAACAAACAGTGTGGAGATAGAAAACACATCCAGTGACTTACTAATGCTCCTTTGGTCCTCCAGGTGTGACTCAAACGCACCACCACATAATGTGCTTTAATTTGGAACTGCATTTTTTACATTGACACTTAAAACATACAAATTAATTTATTTTGTAATGTTTTTTTGTCTTATTATTTCATGTTCTTTCCATCATTGACAAAATAAAGTTTCTAGAGCATGACTGCTGTTTATTATTTCTGTGTAACAGAATCTGGAGTAGTTAGTAACACCAGGATCTTTTGGGGTTCTTGCAGACGTGCAGCATGTCGTACTCACTGATAATCCACAGTAAAACAAAATGAGCTGCTAATTGTTCCTACACAAAACACATTTACAGTAATATTCAATAAGAGGAAAAGTGTTGAAACAATAATTTGAGATTTATGTTCAATACTGACAAGTAACAACTGAAACTAACAGAAGCAGCCAACACCTGAAAATCATCTTTATCAAGATAAACTGAAGCAAAGCTTGTGGAAGTGTACAGTAAGAAAAGTTGTTACAGAAATATAATATTTATAGTATAGTATATAGTGTTTGCTATTTTAATCTTGACTAGCTATGAAATTATACTTGTGAAAAGAAGTTAATACGTAATTTTGCCACTTTTTTTCTTTTTGTTAAACACGACCAGGTCAGGTATTCTCAGCATTAACCTCTTTTTGGGTATGAATGTCTCGATCATTGCCTGTGAGCAGGTCTGCTATTTATGTGCTGTTCTTGATATGTGATTGTAGATAGTCGTATACCTTGTTTTCACTGCAACGTTGGTCAATAATCATTTGTTACACACCAGTAAAATTCTTCACTCTGGGTTTATTGTATTCACTTTACTGACTGTAGCTGCTTATGGAGTCTATTTTTGTATTTCCAGATACTGTTTCTTTATTGCACTTGCTGTGATGTACACTGTTTTTGCTAAGAGCTTTGACAGTGTGTACAGCCTGGACTCTGTCAGAAGCAATGTCAGGCCTGCACGTTCACTTTAAAAGATTGACCGAATAACGTTGTGGCCCGATTTCCCCAATGATGAGTAATAATCAATGAGTTTATCCAGGGCAAACATATTCTGCTGGGACTAACTGCACACTCCACAGGGACAGTTATGCTTTCAACACATCAACAATACCTGCAAACTAAAGCATCTGCTAACTAATCAACAGAATCACGGTTGAACCAGCAGTCACATGTGTCTGCCTGTGACAAAAGAATCAAGGGGAAAAAAATCTACTGAAAAGTAAGTTTTTATATTTTTGAAAAAGCATTTTGTGGCATGGTAAGATATTTCATTTTATTTTGGTGCGTTATTATAATATTGAATGGATGTTGGATTCTGACTTTGCCTCTGCTGACGTGTTATTCTTATGAGATGCTGCGTGTGTGTGTAATGTGTGTGTTGTATGTATTTTTTTAGGTGAGCCATGGCAGCTGATCTAGACGTGGTGAACCTGTTTATCATTGCGGGGGGAACACTGGCTATTCCCATCTTGGCCTTTGTTGCTTCGGTCCTTCTCTGGCCCTCTGCACTCATTAAAGTATATTACTGGTAAGGTCGATTACTGTGTTGTCCTGGCTTTCACTTAGTATGTTCAATACCTGACGTGAATGCCAAAGATGATTCCATCACAAATATTCGATAAAAAAGAACAAACACTAATGACAGAACATGCCTCTAATCAAAATACACATCATTTGTATTCTCAACCTGCAGATATTTAACAATATCAACAACAATATATATAACAATATCGCTGCACAGGCCATCTCAAAACAACACTCATATTTACATTGAAAGCATTCTTGGTCACGTTAACTTTTCCTCAGAGCCACAAAGAGATCCCTCCTTGGGGGAATTTCATTCTAAAAAGACTGCAGCTTTGGAAGTTACCCACTTGATTTAACTCAGACTGCTTAAACCTAACAGTAGCTCATATTAGTTTCAGCTGTACTTGCAAATGCATCTTTGCACAGAAAGAGGAATCTGGATTTTGTCTTCCATCACTCAAATTGAAGAGAAAGGTTCTGTCTGCAGACTGTGGATTAAGATTGACTTGAATAATGTGAGCCTATCCTTTAAAAAGATTCATGTGACCTTTTATAAACATTAAAGTGTGAGCTTTTATATCACCCAAGATCACAAATTTGCCTCAACATGAAACCCTTAATGTATCTTAACAGCAACAGAAAGAAAATGCCAATGTTGGCAACACATGTTCATAAGAATTTGCATCCATTATCCCTCGACCAAAATTTGAATCCCAGTGACGTCATGTCTGCGTGTGTAAGCTCAGACACACTTGCTTCCCTTACAGGTACTGGAGGAGGACGCTGGGCCTGCAGGTGCGCTACGCAGACTGCGGCGGTTATCGCTTCTGTTACACCTACAGAGGAAAGCCCGGGATGAGACCTTCCATTTTAATGCTGCACGGCTTCTCTGCTCACAAAGACACATGGCTCACTGTTGTCAAGGTCAGGGGATCTGCAACGCTAAAAACATAACAGTTTGTTGCTGTGAGATAACACTCATCCAGCAGTGACAGAAAAACACAGAGGCTGACAGGCTGTTAAGTCGTAATAGTAATGTAAAATGTGGATTTTTTTATACATAAATAGTCTTAGTTTATAAGGAATTTAAGGACATATATGTGGAAGCACAAAAGGCCCTTATAGATTTGAATCTTATAGGCAACTTAACAGAAATTGAATCACTAATGAATACTTTATTTTGAAATTTAAATGAATGTATGGTATTTAAAAAAGACACATTTGATTTTAGGTGTTTTAAATTCCCCTCTTTGATACTTCCAGATCAGGTGCTGTTTCAAAAACCTGATTTTAAGTTTTGTTTATTTTTTGGTTCACAAGGCTTCACAAATTTGGGTAGAAGATTTAAGTGTCCAGTTAGATTTCTAAAAATCACATCAAAAAATAAAGTTCAACGTGGATCTGTGAAATTCAAGATGAAAAATTCAAATTTGGACATCCTCCAGACGGCTAAGGATAAGCAGCCAGTCTTTCTTGGCTTCCATGCCTACATTAATAGTTTCAGGCTGTACTTTCTCTCTCTTTTACCACTCTAGTATCTACCAAAACATCTTCACATTGTGTGTGTGGACATGCCTGGCCATGAGGGAACAACACGCACCAACACAGAGGATTATTCCATTCAGGGGCAGGTCAGAAGGATCCATCAGGTACACTGAACAGAGAGAGCAATTAAATTCAGTATGTGGGTGTATTTATTTATTTTTTTTCCAGGTACTGAAATCATTCCACTGAAAACCTGTTTTTGTTCTTTGTTCTTCTCAGTTTGTGGAAACCGTTCGCTTAAACAGGAAACCTTTCCATCTGGTTGGAACCGCCATGGGGGGAAATGTAGCCGGGGTTTACGCAGCGTGCTACTCGTCAGAGATCTGCAGCATGACTCTCATTTGTCCAGATGGTCAGTCACTTTGTGTGTGTGTGTGTGTGTGTGTGTGTGTGTGTGTACAACATTATCAATGAGCATCTGAGTGTCTGGCCAAAAGAAAGGTCAGATGCTGAAATCAATATTTTTCACTTTAAAGAGGCACTCTTGTGTCTTTTGTGGCTCTGGAGGGAGCTTTTTTTTTTTTTGTTTAAAAAAAATGTCTTAGTGATGTCACCTGGGTTTTCTCGGTTTGGGCTCGGGGTCTCCAAATTTATAACACAAAATCTGCATTTCAAACTTGGGGTGTGGAGTTTGAAAGATGTGGGCATTTACCCCAGAGGGTCAAACACTATCTGCGAGCCAATGGGAGCAGAGCAGGGTCGTCTGTTAGTTCTGTTGGTTTTCTTTTAGCCATATTTGAAAATGTTCAGGGTTTCTCTGCCAAAGACTTTTGCTAAATTACCTAAAATGTACAGTCTGGTTGTGTAGGTGATATTTGCCTGTTGGAGAAGCATAGCTCTGTTAGCCCTATAAAACCATGTTAAACTGATTATAGATATACCCTGTTGATAGTGTTTGATTTCAGATTATATGTGCCTAAACTTATACTGCCTGCACCAAAAATAGGGTTAGGGGTTTTAAATTTAAAAAAGCTATTTCTAGTATTTTTTAACTCCTGTATGATCTGAATAAAACAGGTACTTCATCCAGAAACAAAGAAATCTCCTTATACAATAAAGTTTCACTCTTTGTGCGGCTTTCATGGATTTGTATTTAACTTAGAATGGAGCATTTTTTTTCACAGAGAAGATCCTGTTACAGCCTCATTCTGAGTGAAAATGAGCTAAACTAAGAATAAAAGTAGAAACTGATTAGCTTTTATACTTTTGTGACAGAAAAGGAAGTCCTTGGAAAAACTACTCTCTTTCCATTGGCTCACACATAGTCTGCAGTTGCTGGACCCGTCTCCATTTACTGAGTTGCATTATGGGAAATGTTGGATCTAACACTGTAGGTGCTTCCTTTAAATGTGTCTTTTGTAAGTCTCCCAACTAAATAAGTAGAGTTTCCCTTTAAAAGCAAATTAACTCACCCAGAGGATTAATTTCATGCCTACAATCATTTGCTGTTCCTGACATTTCATTTGATCACCAGTATTCATCATTCAAAACAACATATGAGCGTGCACCCTTCAGTTTCTAATCAGAAAACACTATTTTATTCCTGCAGGTATAAGACACCCATGTGAGACCAAATTTGACAATCATCTGCAGGACCTGGAGCACAGCAATTACACATTAAATATCCCGCTGATCCCAACTACACCCGAGGAGATGGAAGACATGTTCAGACTTTGTTCTCACGTTCGCTTTAAAATCCCTCAGCAGGTCAGGTCCACACTTGAAAAGGAAAGCACTGTGGATTTCACTTTGTTTGCACTCACAGACAAATGTAGCTACATTTTGTGGATGTTTAAACGTGTGTTTTCATTGTTTAGATTCTTCAAGGATTGGTAGATGTTCGGCAGCCCCACAACACATTTTACCAAGAAGGTTAGTGCACGTTTGTCTGAAAATAATTAGGATTTCCCATGTAAGTACAGTATAGTCCATGTGAACCAACCAGTGATTTTGTTTCCTTTTTCAATCAGTATTTATGGAGATTGTTGGTGAGAACTCAAGATATGCCTTACAGGAGCACGTACATCTGATTACTGCACCTTTACAAGTGATATGGGGCAAACAAGACCAGGTAAAGCATGCTGTTCCACTAATGCGGTGATTCAGCAAAGCCTCTATAAATACCAGAATGATTACCTTGCAGCTTTTTGCTTCTAAATGCACCCGAAGATTCATGTGGCTGTATACCAACCTGTAACTTGAGGCTGGTGGCTCAGGTTTCTCTAGCTGCTTTGGCCTGAAAAAAGAAACTTCAGCCACATAGACATGATCATTGTCTCTGCATTTGTCCAAGGTGGTGGATGTCTCTGGAGCTACAGTCATTGCAGAGGTGCTGCCTGGCTGCAGGGTGGACCTGCTGGAGAACTGTGGACACTCTGTGGTAATGGAGAGGCCATGTCGGACAGCCAAACTCATCCTGGAGTTCATCATCATGCAGCAAGATGCCAGGGGTGGCACAAAGAAATCCTCCTGAAACCCAATGACTTGTACTCATTTCTTTCCACTGCAATGCCTCACATGTCCCTTATACGTGACATGCATGCATATGTATACAGATGTCCAAGCTTCAAACATTTACATTAAGACAGTAAGCAAGGGGTTGGGTAGTGCACCAGCATCTCTTAAGAGAAATAAATCGCGTTTAATTTGTAATGTAAACTTAAATCACCATGATAATAAAAGCTAGTATATGAGTGTGTTCGGATGTGTGCATGTATTCATGCAGAGGTGCCTGTGGTTGCAGGAGGACCTCCTCCCCTCCTTCACCCTCCTTGTGTGCGTAATTTTTGCTGCAGCCTGGAGCCGAGCACAGCTGCCCGGTGCGACCAGCGGCAAACATCAGCGACTGTCCGGCTGCACCGTTACATGCCGACCGCAGACCGCGGTTCTTGGACACACACACACACACATACACACACACAAAAAAAAATAGACAAGTAGGCAAGAAAGCGAGCAGGTAAGGCTTTGTTTTTTCACGTCTATGTTTCTTCCGGGTAGTCTAATTAAGAGCCCCGGCGTTAACCTCAGTAGTAAGCGTCAATGGCTCGTGGACTGTTAGCTCGGTTAGCTCGCTAGTTAGCAAGCAGGAAGCTAACAGGCTACATTTCCAGTGTGGTAGTCGCTTTGTGTTTAACGCCACCAGACATGGTGCCTCCAAGCCGGATTTACTTAACGTATTAACACAGTTTTACCTTTTTAAAAAACACATTTTGTTGCTTGCGATGTAACTTAATCTCATAAGTCAGCTTGTTTCATCTTCAGAGCAGAGAGTGAAAAGAGGTCGGATGGCTACTTTTTTTTTTTTTTTTTAACACTAGCTCTATTGAGCAAACATTAACTTAGCTGCCTTCACTAGCCTCCACCTCTTCATCAACGTTAGGTAGTTCAGTCACACGGTTGCTGTATAAGTGGGTAACTTAACGAGAGGTAAATTAATGGGTTTATGTTCATTTAGTAGCGCCAGGTTTCACTTTCCATTGGGTTGGTATTTTGATCTTTAATGATGGATCATCCTCTGCTGTCATAAAGACTCTTGAGATGCAAAGTTAAATCTTAACCTTGCAAAAAAACATCTTAACTTTAGTAGCTTTTCTGAAGCTATTTAAAAAGAAAATCATATTCCATTATCTTGTTCAGTAGATGGGGTTTGTCAGCTGTTATGGACATGCAGATGTTTAGATTTACTTCCTTTTTCTTCCACTTGTCAAAAGCAGACTGCCACTTTAACAGCAAGTACCCTGACAAGTTATTAAAGAAACGTGTATCCAGTCAGCTCACACTGCGGGACGGGAAATAATATAACTCACAAGTGCTTGAATACAGTATGTATGTTTGAGTACACAGGCTCCCAGGTAGATCATTACTTGTGTAGTTCAACACACACACACACACACACACACGCAGAGGTGCTAGTTACATGACTTGACTTAAGTCTGCATGATTGTGTCCCTCACATTTTGCATAACTCTGTTACAGCTCATGTTAACGTGACTGTTTTTTCACAGGTAGAATTGAAGTAAGCCAAAACCGTATCTGTTCCCTCTCTATTTGGTTCTGACCAAGTGGGTATTGTTCAACAAATGGATAATGGAGACTGGGGCCATAGGGTAAGAGATGGATAGAAGTCAGACTAGAATAAGAGCAATGTCAGCTGTTTTTTTTTTTTTTTTTGCTGCTATAGAAATGTTGGCTGATGGCTTAATGTGAAAGGACCAGTGTGTAGGATTCAGCGGCATCTAGCGGTGAAGACGCAGATTGCAACCGTTTGAATACAGATCAGCCCTCCAAGTATGTATGTGAAACTTGCGAAAAATGGGAAAGGCCCTATCTAGAGCCAGTGTTTGTCTATTCTGGGCTACTGTAGAAACATGGCGGTTCAACATGGCGGCCTCTGTCGAAGAGGACCCATTCCCTCTTTAGATAAAAACGTCTCAGTGTAAGGTAACAAAAACAACGTATTTTCAGGTGATTACACACTAATAAAAACATACCTATGAATATTATATTCCAATTCTGCAGGATCCTAAATGTTACACACTGGACCTTTTAATTCACTCTGTTGTCAGTTTATTTTACATTAAGAATCAAAAACGAACGCAGTCTGATACAGCATCCTTGCGGTAAATCCTTCCTTCATGAAGGTTGTAATGTTCATAAGGGTATAATGTTTAGATATATTTTAGAGAGATTTGGAGCAATTCAACAGCACCATTACCAAATTACAAAATAACATTTATTTTAGTGAGGGAACTTCACACTGTTCATGTTATCACCCACAACTGCAGGATGCTAACTTTCTATCACTTAACAAAAACATGTGATTCTCATCCTGTTCTCTGTTCCTTTTTGCCCTAGATGACTACTCCTGTTACCTTGAACGTGGGAGGCCACATGTACACCACCAGTTTATCCACCCTGCAGCGCTATCCAGACTCCATGCTGGGTGCCATGTTCCGGGGAGATTTCCCCACCACTCGTGATTCCCAAGGGAATTATTTCATCGATCGCGATGGAACACTTTTCCGGTATATCCTGAACTTCCTGCGGACGTCTGAGCTCACGCTCCCCATGGACTTCACAGAGACAGACCTCCTCCGTAAAGAGGCGGACTTCTACCAGATTGAACCTTTGATCCAGTGCCTTAGTGATCCCAAGCCTCTGTACCCTCCCGACATCTTCGAGCAGGTCGTGGAGCTCTCTAGCACTCGGAAACTCTCAAAATATTCAAACCCAGTCGCCGTCATCATCACGCAGCTAACCATAACTACAAAGGTTCACGGTCTGCTGGAAGGTATTTCCAACAACTTTACCAAGTGGAACAAACACATGATGGACACCAGAGACTGCCAGGTGTCCTTCACCTTCGGACCATGTGACTACCACCAAGAGGTGTCCCTAAGGGTTCACCTCATGGACTACATAATGAAACAGGGCTTCACCATCCGCAACACGCGTGTGCATCACATGAGTGAGCGTGCTAACGAGAACACGGTGGAGCATCACTGGACTTTTTGCAGACCAGCTCACAAAGTTGAAGACTGAGGCACAGCACAGTTGTTGTGGATGACATTACGGTTTGATTTGTCTTCATAATACACAAATCATGATTTAAAAAAAATTGACCTCTGTTTCAGTAATGTATCACTAATAATGATTTTTACCCCTAATTTTGAACAAAGTGGTACAGTGCACAAGTCCAGACAGGTAGCATTAAATAAAAAAAAAAAAGAGAATTCTTGATTTATTTACCTATTCAAGTGTTATCTTAGCATAACACTTTATTATCTGTTCTACAACTATATACACATATATATCTGACCGTTCTTGAACTCTACAAAGCAAAAACAACATTCCTTATGAAGCAGAAAGACCCTATAGCAATGATTCTATCCATGTAGAGACACTGTTATACCCTAATAATGCTAAAAATGTGGTTACATTGATTTTTATAGGATTGTGATCTCTTTATTCTGAAGTGAGTAATAAAATGATTGTGAACAGGGAACCAGGTTTTGAAACTATATGCCTACATACAGTATCAGATCTACATCTTAACATCCATTAATGTAAATTTAGAAAGGAAAAAAAGAGGAGATTGTAAAAGGTTTGTAGCTCATACACAAGCTGTCTTTTCCATATTTTGGACAAGAGATACTGAGCAAAGAGCCCAAATTGTCAGGAGGGTACCCTTTTTTTAAAATTATAATAAATTATGATATTCTTTAGCCCAATTTCTTTCTGTGAGTTTACAGTAGATCTTAAAATTAGTCTTTTAGCTCTCTATTAGCTCATTATATGGTACTATTTCTTAAGACCCTAGTTGTTGTTGCATGTGTCTGAGTGTCCTGTGTATGTACATGTATCTTCTGTGTGCGCTTTGTAGTATTATGTCCTACTGTTACACTTTAGAGCTCATATCAACAGTGATGTGTTTGGTCATTCCAGCCAAAATAAACCCATTTGTGTATTTGTCAATTTTGCTTTATGTTTGAACTTTTCATCTTAAGTTGATGATATTTTTGCACACATGACAAATTGTGTTATTGTAATCCCACCATCAGTATTGTAGCAATGTCGCATCATTTTTGAAATATTTTTAGAAAATGTTTTCTGGCAGAGATGTACATACGCCAAGCTCCCAGTTGGATTTCATGCCTTCACTCATTCACTGTTGCGAAGGACAAATCAAATATGGCAGTATGGAGTAAATTGAATGGTGGGAACAAAATGTTTTAGTAAATCCAGTTACAATTCAACAGTTACAAATAAGTGGGAGCAATTACTAACTGTGTTAAACTATATTGTCACATATTTTTTTGTATGCCAGTGCAGCCCCGTGGAATCATTTGATTTCCATCCATCGAAAAAAGGCATGAGAAACTCCACAAATAATTTGATCTGACAAACCATACAAAAAGCTTTCAAGCAATGCTGATGGTCATGCTTTAATAATTTTCTTAACCCCATATCAGTAAACATAAGTGACTGCCCAATTATTTTCAGCATAAGAATTACACAACAAACTAATGTCTGATCATTACTGTTTTTCAACATCAGTACAGAGCCAGTGATCATCTCTTTATTCAGTAAAGGTGGACATTATTCCAGTGACAACAATTCCTTTCTGTTATGTTGCTCATAGAAAATCTTTTATTTAAAATGTATCCATAGATTTGTTCACAATTTTTTTTTCTCACATTCAAAATGTTATTATTTTATTAATATTTTTGGCATTAATCTTAAAAGGGGTTTAAGTATTAAACCATTATAACTCCCATTTTAACTTGAACCAACCAAACACAATGTATAAGGAATCGCTCATACACGCAACCGGAAGTTACGACTCTTCTTGGGTGAGTTCGTTTTACATGACAACACCGAGCTGCCGTTGGTTCTCCTCTACATTCCATACAACTCCGCTCTGTTGCTAGGTGCCAGGTCTCAAAATGAGCGCACCCTCTCTCTCTCTCTCTCTCTCCCATTGCTGTCATAACGTTACTAAAGGACATGTAAGGTCCACGCTATCCTTGAAACAGCCCCACCGCCAGAGTTTACCCCCCCACACTTACAGTTTACCGACACACGGCGTCTGTAACGTTGTTAGCCAGCATGTTTAAAAGGAGTAATACCGTAAAGTATGTCCTGGACCTGGTTCCGGGTAAAAGTCGTCTCGGGACGTACAGGTTCCTTCCCATCTTCTTTTGCATCGGAGGTGTCATGGAGTGGATCATGATCAACGTGAGGATAGGAAAAGAGACTTTCTGTGAGTGTAAAACGACAAAATGGAGTTTCTTTTTTAATAGTAAAACCTTGGTTTGACTTGGTATTAAGCCGTAGTGTTAGCATGGTGAGGAGGACTCATGTTAGCCTGTTAGCCTGCTATCTGTTACCTGGTGAAAAGTTAACTACTTTAATTTAATAACAAACTAAAACCTGCGAGGTGAGAGCAGTCTGAACTGAATTTAAAGCACTTCCTGTCTGGCAAGCTGTTTCTTAAACGAAAATGACCATGTTGCCACGATGTCACAGTGGGCCTACTGTTAGGACTGTGCTTGTTTACAGATTTGGGACACATCACCCTCGTTGACCTTCCAAATATGTCCTCAAACTTTCCTACAACCTACTGCAGGCTCTCTCACCTCTCCTCTGCTCTGCTGTCATTAGGAAATATGGAAAAAGTGAGAGAAATATGGAGGGAAAAAAAAAAAAAAAACAGGCATTTTAAAGTAAACACATGGCAGTACAGGCAGTTAGATGGGTCAGACTGCTGTAAATAAATAGCACAATATACTTTAATTTGGATTCTTTAACAATACCACAATGTATCCTTGCAATCAAAATTGTACTAATGTATAACAAATAGAATGAAAGTACTCAGTATGAAGAATGGCCCATTTCAACGTGTTTTATTATATTATAGGGCTGCAATTTTTATTATCAATTCATATTTATATATATTTATGGGTTAATCAGTTACTTGTCTACCAAAAATTTAATATCTTCTCTTGTCAGAGAGTCTAAAACCTAAAGATATTGGATTGTTCAATGTTATATATATGTTATGGAACTAGAGATGTTTGGCATTTTTGCTTGATAAGTTATTAATCTATGATTGATCATATTATTATAATCATATTATTGGATTTTAAGTTTCGATGCATTCGTGTCTAAGCAACATTTTAATGTTGTACCTGGTACAGGTGTAACCCCACAATTTTGTGTTCTGTTTAGTAGCATAAAAGTACATCATATGTTATAAACTGATGAAAAAAAAAAGTCAAAGCAACTAGTAACAGCAGCTGTTGAATAAATTCAGTACAATATTTTGAAATGTAGCAGAGTCGAAGTACTAAGTATAATAAAACGAAAAACCTCATATAAAGTAACTCAAACTTGACAGTACTTGAGTAAATGTACTTCACCACAGCTTATCACTTTGTCGATATGGCAGTGACGCGTCTGTAGCTACACCTGTAGAGAGTGTTATGCTCATTCAAAAGAATTTAAAAATAACCCTAATGTGTCTGTACTCTCACTGAACCCACATCCCTTTATTCCAGATGTGCTCAAATGTGCCATTTCACGAGAATTAAAAGGATTAAAATCCTCCTGTGTATAAAAACCAAAAAAAAGCTGCCCTGCATATTTTATCCTGTAGTATTCTGAGGCCATGTAGGGATACAGAATACAATCTCCTATCCCTAGTTTTATTCCTCAGCTTGTAAGTAGTTTCTTGTTTTTACTTTTTCCAAAATCTGCAGGATAACTTAAAGGCCTTTTTTCACATTTCACATTAGGATAAACTAGTGGAAATATATGTATAAAAAAAAAAAAAATCATAACTGACTTCCAGGTTTTTTTCTCACAGTAGACATTTTGATTTATCATATTAGGAAAAGCACAGGTGAAATCATCAGTAAGCCATACCGATGAGCCAGCATCCTGAAGCTGGCTCACCTAAATAGAATGCAGTCATCATTAATGTTATTAATTACACCTTTGCTTTTCCAGCTGTGACAAGCCAAATTGCCCGCTTTGGAAAAAGGTATATTGTGCATGCTGGCTCACTGTTACAGTGTCGTGGAAGACAAAGCCATCATTAATATTATTAGTAACACCTGTGCTTTTCTTCAACCTGTCCGCTGTTTAAAAGGTCTATTGTAAATAAGACATGGGTGACCAGCATCAACCATTCAGAATATAGTCTCAATAGTTCACCATCAAAACTGCCTATATTACAGGTGTCTCATTTCAGTCTGTTCGTTCTGTTTTCCTTCTTCCAGACGATGTCTACCGGAGAAAACAATCAGAGCGGGAGTACGAGCAGAAGATAGCAGATGGTTTGATGGTTCGTAATGAGCCGGCAGCCAAGTGAACGTGGTCGGGTTTAATGTGGACTTCACATGTGTCGTCTAAGGACACATTCCTGGACTCCTAATTGTTTCCAACAGGCTGGAACGGACTTTATAGCATATTACTGGGTTACAACAACTATGTCACCGTTAGGAATGTAATTAAGAGTGAAAGGCTGATGGAGAAATCACTTCCAACATGCAGGTTTTATTGTTAATATGATCTTCAGTTTAAGAAACATTAGCAGTAATGATGCCACTAGTGTGAAATCAAATGTAACAATGAAATAATGAAATAATATACATATCAACAATGTCTTATATTATAGTCTATGTTGATGTGTTTAAAAATGTTGCATAGCACCTGCCAAGACAAAACAATCTCAGCTCAATGTAACAAATGAAAAAATACAAAAAAAGAGTCTTTGTTTGTAGAGACATCTTGGATGATTTTACACAGATGTGTTTAATACTGGCAGAGAGCATTTAAAAAGAAACAAAAAAAAGCTCTTTCTTCTGCTTGTCTGCCTTTCTGTTCTGTAACTATATAATTCCTGTGTAATTATAAAAACTGTTCTCGAACTGTACGGTAGATTTGAGTATATAAAATGTAACTTAAGAACTGTATTTTCCAAATTTTATTTTTACTATCTGTGTATCTGCATCCTTCATTTTACACAGACCTCCTCCCCCCAAGGTTTACCTCTATCCATGCTAGGGTTATTTTAGTTGTACCGTCCAAGGGGGAGAGACTGCAGACAGATGAAGCTGTTAGGGTGCATCGACAGCATGATGGGGTTCCCGTCCAGTCTCACCTCGTACATGTTGGTCCGGATGTAGTAACTGTTGTTGCCTTTGCAGAACGTCTCATCCGTTATTTTTAAGATCTTGTTGTTCTGCAGAACAGACACAGGAGACCAATCCAAAGACACAAATTGGTGCATCATGTAGCGACAACCAGCTCAGCAGACAGAAAGCAATCTAATTGCTTCTACAGAGCTTCTCTGATTAATTGCTGTGATTGCAGTGAATTAGAGATGAACTTACATGCAGGTGCACAACGTGAAGAGACTCTGGAAGTTGGGGCACTGCAGTCAGTTCATTGTTTCCAAGGTAGAGGTATGCCAGTCTTGTGAGCTTCTGCAACAACAAAAGTCCGCTGTTTTGTATTAGGCTGCTTTCTATATTAAACATCTGAACACATGCAAAGTGCATAACGTCTACAGCATTTTGACATGAGATCGGTGGGCTTAACTTACTTTAAAAGCAGTTGCCTTTACACCCTGGGTTTTAAGCCTGTTGAAATTGGCACTGAACGACACCAGCTTGGTGGGCAGCATGGGAAGTTTAGTCAGTCTGTTTTCTGCAAGACTGAGCTCCTCAAGATTGGGAAGTTTTGAAAAAGCTCCATCTTCTATCTCGGAGATGAGATTCCCCGTTAGGTCAATTCTTCTTAAAGTGGCTGGAGATTAAAACAAAAACAAAGAGAGCGAGCTGACAAAGATGGCATTCGCTGAAGAAGATAATTAGCTGACTGTTATAAGGACTTTTATTTACCCATGTCTGCAAAGTCTCTGTTGGTTAGTTTTGTGATTTTGTTGAAACGTGCATAGAGATACGCTGTTTCCTTTGGCAGTGACGGGACGCTTGACATTTCAGGGGACACCTCCTCACAGTAAACAGATCCACTCAGGCAAACACACAGCAGACATGTGGGCAACTCTGAAAAAGATCACAATGCTGTTTTTATCACCTTGTTTTTTAAGAAAAATCCTTTTCTCATTAACTTGTCCTTTGGATAAGTCGGCTAACTGGTCTCAGCAACGAGACTGTGCAGCTTAAAATGCACTACACACAGTTTAGATGAGGACACTTGATCAGCCCCATTATTACATAATACGGGCTTTAGCTACATTCACAAAAATGTGGAAGAATGCCTCAGCAAGCGTTGCATAATCGGCTTTGAAACAGTTGTTGAAAACTATTTATCTGTGAAAACAAATCTTACCATCGACTTTTGGAACTACTGCTGGGTCAGAGTCTTGGAGCATACCGTAGTCTGGAAAGCTTACAATGTCTTTCTGTAAAAAGAAGAAATCTTCATAATAGCTCCACTTTTCCTCCCAACTCGACACTTTCATGCATTTCTTCAACCCACTCATTTACACAGTGTATAAACCCCCGAAATATATATTTACCTTAGGTTTTCTTACTTCCATGTATTCATCTTTTGCTGCAGAAGAGAGTATCCATGGGAGCATAACAGATGTAAAAATTAAAGTCTTTAATTGCATCATTGTGTCTTAGCTGCTGGTCAGAGAGGAGAGTGCTGTCTGCTAGGCTGGAATCTGAGGTACATGTGAGCAGGAAAATTTTCCATCCAGTTTTTATTAAGCTGCCAGTATACTGCTGAGTAAGAAAAGGAAACAAACTTTAACTCAATACATGCTGTGTTTGTGTTGCTCTCAGTGGTCAGGATTATTGTAAAGACTATATACTGTATGTTTAGGACAAGTGTCTGTCGATGATGAGCAGAACATAATGACCCAAAGTGATTATTAAAATATTGTAGGAAAATCATTAAGTAAACCTAATGAACTCTGCTTTTACATTTTACTTTCAGTGACAAAGGAGTGTTGTTACTGGAAAAACAGTGGGTACCGGTGATTGATGGGGGGAAAAATGTAGTTATTTGTGAATGTGAATTGCCAAAGCAAGCACCAAGCTGGGGAGAAAATCATTTTGAATAAGTCCCTTTTTTAACTCCATACTTCAGTTTGAACTTAATAACAGCAGTTAAAACACTCTGTCTCTTTAGGAAAGGGCTGTTCCCTCATTATAAGTGACTATATTTCTGAAGAAGCAGCCATCTTTGAGGGTGATTTTTCTTTAGTTTGTTTCTTAATCAGTTTGCCAGAGATGAACATGTGCAGCTCTTTTCTGAATTATGATGAACATGCCAGCTTTCAAGCTGCTTGACAGTTAGAAAATGTCTTCAACAGTAACTCAGTTTTCCATTAGATGATGTAGTTTTGTGTCTTTAAATCTGAAATGAATAGTGGTACCTCTTTTCTCTAACAGACATGGATTAACAACATATGTGACGTGTCAAAACTTCAGACCTGGAAAATATACAAGCTTCCCCTCTGCAGAGAGATAGTACAACTACTTACATCACAGATACTCTGCATACAGTCACTTATGGGCAAAATGTAGCTCATTGTCATATAGTGCTGAAATAATTAGTCAAATAATCAATAAGGTGATTGACAGAAAATTAATCATGAAGCAGTTTTGATTAACATTTAATCTTTTATTTATTTCTGGGGTAGTTTAGTGTCTTTAAATGACAATGATAGCTGAAGAGTGACACGGGGGGGTGACATGCAGCAAAGGGCCACAGGTTGGAGTTGAACTCATGGCCGTTGCAGCAAGGATTCGGCCTTTGTACGTGGGGCACTGGGTCTACCAGGAGGGCTATCAGGGTGCTTCAACAGTTCAACTTTTAAATTCTTTATTGTGCAAAAATGATTATTGATCGGATCAGTTAGCACTTTTGTCAAATGCACTCAGGCAAAGATCAAACAATGCGCCAGCAGGAAAATGTCATAAGGTTTAAAGATGTTTTACTTTACTCTTAATAACAGAAATCAGTCCTCAACTGGATCAGGTTCAAGACCCTGCACTGACAAATATCTCAACTGCTAAAGTATGGAGCAAAACACTGAAGCCCTGCTCTCACTGACCTTGACCTTTCACCTTGCTGTGCAGAATGGAAAGCAAAATGAGCTTTCTTACACTTTTCTTACAGTGCCACACTTAATGATGCAATGTATTCACACAATGATCCCCAATATTAGTCTACAATATAGTATAGTTAATATAGTTGTGTAATGTGTTTAAATGGTGCAGACAGCTCTAATGTTAAAGCAGAAGTGGGTTGTCCAATTGTTTAAAAAAAAAAAAGTTGTCTAAGTAACTAAAACAGGAAGCCACAGCCGACAAGAATGTCAGAAAAAAATCAGCAGCTACGTTAATGTGCACTGATTGCTTCAATCAAGTCTGAATAAATAAATAAAAAAAACTCGTATAACCATCTGAGTACAAATAAATCAGCATATTGTTAAATTCATGGCATGGTCCTTATTTTTTTATTTTTATTTTTTTTAATAAAGCCTGTTTAAAAAGCAAACATAATGTAAGCGTACATACCTATTAATTTTAAGTCTGGCTGTATTAATGATCTCCTTTAGCACATGAGCGCAATGGTCGCATTACGTAAGGCAGATGTGTGTTGAAAAAAGAGGAAACACAAGTGCCAGTGTAACGGAAGTGGTACTGCCCTGAACGCTGAGCGAGACGGAGGACGGAGGCAATCGTCCAGAGAGAGAAAAAAAAAAGCAGGATTAAAAGCCGCCAATATTGTAAGTGTAGCAATCTCGCATTCACAAATAACGCGGCATAACACCACATTTTCATTCGTGGCTCAATGCTAGAATCGCTGTTTCATCGTGTCCGGTTGAATCCTGTTGAGAAGCCCGTCAAGCTAGCGGAGCAGGCTAGCTGGGTTTGTGAAAGGCTAGGCGTCTTAGCTCGCTCGGCTAACAAGCTAATGCTAACGCTACGCCAGCTAAAAGGGGGGTTGGAGCTAACGTTAGCCTGCGAGCTAACCGACGGTCGGATTCCATGACACTTTGTTCTGACAGGCTCGTCAGCCTGGGCGGGCCGTGCTACAGCTGTTCAAAATGAATTAAACGCGAAAGTAACACCTCGCCGTGCAAATATTTTATTTTCTGTGGCTTGTTAAAAAAGACATATGTTGATTGCCAACACCCCTCAACCGTGGTTTTTTTTTTTTTTTTTTTTTTTTAAAGACGAAAGTCGGTCGTTGCTTTTGCTGGCCTAGCTAACGAGGTAACGATGCATTGAGACGACGGAATTGTTTGTCACTTCGCTCGCTTTGTGATATCATGAATACGACAGAGTAGCAGCGGTACGTCGTTGTTTGATCGAGTGGGAAATACACAAAATGATGAATCGGATCGGCTTGCGTTTACAAGCTAACGTTAACATCAGTTAGCGAAATGTATCATCCCGCTAGCGTTGCTCGCAACATTAGGGGAGGGCATTAAAAACCTGACCCGGGAAGGCTTCGGCTGGTGTAGCAAGGTGTCGGTTCAAGCAACGTGAAAACGAGCCAGTAAAGAAAACCAAAAAAACCCCAAACAAACCCCTGTGAATATTACATTTGACATTATTGTTGTTGGCGGTGTGGATTCAGTTGTTTTCATGCACGGATAGTTGAAGAACGACAAAGACGGAAACAGGATTGGAGGACGCTATCAACTAGCTAGCAGCTAACCTTAGCCAGTGATTGTGTATGGTTGACCCACTTGTAAAGGGGCCCAGTTCGCACTGCTTATCCTCACTTTCCTTTTGAATCCAGTAGTTTCCTTACTTTAAAAGATCTGGTCTGTCAAAGTGAAATACAATCACTTTATAACACATACACAGGTATGTCTGGTGTGTGGACAATGTGATGGTGAATCATTCTTCCTGTTTTTTTTTTTTTAACTACACTTAACTACTTCTAATGCTGTATTTTCTTTTTCCTCAGTCTAGAAAATGGATAAGAACGATCTGGTACAGAAGGCCAAGCTTGCTGAGCAGGCTGAGCGCTATGATGACATGGCCGCAGCCATGAAGTCGGTGACGGAGCAAGGTGGGGAGCTGTCAAATGAGGAGCGCAACCTTCTCTCTGTTGCCTACAAGAATGTGGTAGGCGCACGCCGTTCATCCTGGCGCGTCATCTCCAGCATCGAGAATAAGACTGAGGGCAATGACAAAAAACAGCAGATGGCACGTGAATACCGGGAGAAGATTGAATCTGAGCTTCAGGAAATCTGCCGTGATGTGCTCGTAAGAGTCTCTAATTTCTTTGGTGTTTAAAGACAGTTCAACTTAATGTACTTTTTTGTGTGTGTGTGTGTATGTGAGCGTGTGTGTTATTTAACCTGATTTTCATAAAATTTTAAAACTCTGTCGTTGTTTTCAGGGGCTACTGGACAACTTTCTCATTACCAACGCAACTGCTGCTGAAAGCAAGGTGTTCTACCTGAAAATGAAAGGCGATTATTATAGATACCTCTCTGAGGTTGCATCTGGGGATGCCAAGAAGGGTAAGTGAGGACGTGATTTACATTAGAATTTTGTGCTGTAACACAATGTGCTTAAAGCTGCAAAAATAAATATTTTTATAACAGAGGGTCAAATAACTCTATGTAATGTGAAAGGTGTCGCTCAAAGTGAACAGGCCACAGAGCACCAACCAACTACAGTTTCCCCTCAGCTCTTTGTAGCGTCTTTTAAGCTAATTTCTTGGTTTTTACAGCCCACAATGAATTATTTTGGTTCACTCTCATTGTTTCCAGAAACAGTAAGCAGCTGTTTTATTTTTTTATGTTTTATTTTAAGCAAAAAATAGAACCCAGAAAAAACAAAGCAACCCCCCCAAAAAAAAAAAAATATACAGACAGTTGACCACCTGCCCTTAAACAAATGGCTTCTAATCTTTAGTTCAGAAAGAGTGAGATATTCCCTCAGGACTTGGTGGGGAGTAAAACAGAGCTAGAAGGAGAGTGAATATTGGACTTCTTTTTCAATGTGGACACAAACATGATTCCAAATTACTGCTAGTGTCATCAGTGACTGTTTGACTAACACATCTGCCATTTCAATAATAATGTGACATATGTCAGTTGTTTGCTTATTCAGCTGCCCCCAAGTGGCCAAAAAAAAATCAAAATTAATCCTGCTTTAACATGTTCTGTAAATTATGGTCATTTTATTTTTTTCTTTTTCTGTTTCTGCCTAAAGATACAGTGGAAAACTCCCAGCAGGCGTACCAGCAAGCTTTTGAAATTAGCAAGGGGGAGATGCAGCCAACACACCCTATCCGGCTTGGCCTGGCCCTCAACTTCTCAGTCTTCTACTATGAAATCAGAAACAACCCGGACAAGGCCTGCAGCCTGGCTAAAACGGTATGGACTGATGTTTTTGAAATCTTTTACAATTTAATTGTGTTTTCAAAGAAAATTTTTGCGCACATTGAAGTACTTGCATATATTAGGAAGAACATTTTAGTCGAGTCAGAACTAAAGGTTGTTTGGTTGTTTTGTCCCTGCCTAACAGTGTTCGGGGGAGTTTAAATAACAAGCGTAATCTTTTGTATTTCAGGCATTTGATGAAGCCATCGCTGAACTTGACACTTTGAACGAGGATTCTTACAAAGACAGCACCCTGATCATGCAACTACTAAGGGACAACCTGACTGTGAGTTTTAAGCCACATGCTGTTCTGCCTCTGATCGATCTTGATGTATTATTCACAGCAAATCATAACATCTTTATTTCTTTTTACTCTGTTCCCAGCTGTGGACATCAGAAAACCAGGCAGATGAGGGAGAGACCGGAGACGGGGAAAACTAATGGAATTGCACTGTTAATCCACCTACACTCTTATCTTAAACACAGACAGCTTATATACATCCCCCTCCACTCCATCAGCTCCTCCCACTTCTGTATGACAAGCAGTCTGAATTGCTCCTGACCAACTAGTTTACCCCTCTCAGTTCACTGTGAGGTGACAGGGTAATTTTCAGTTAGCAGATTCAGTCACTTTGTGGAAACATGTTGTATTGATTAGTGAGTCCATGTTGCTGTTTTTTTTTTTTTGTCGGCTTTGTGTGTGTGTGTGTGTGTGTGTGTGTGTCTGTATGTATGTATGTATGTATGTAGCGAGTGAGCAAGTGTGAAAGGATGAGAAAGATGGTGTGTATGGTCTGGGGGAGGGGGGTGTTGTGAATTCTAGTCGTCCTTCCAAATCCCTTTGTCCCAGCTGGTTTGTTGTGCATTTTTCATCCCTTTTTTTTTTTTTTTTTTTTGTTACTTTCTTATTTGTGATTCCTCATATTTACAGGTTTTATTGTATGGTAATTAAACTGGCAGTTGATTTCCACCAAACACTGTGATGGTAGGCGTCCCATTTGCTTCACAACCCAGAACAGTTTTATTTTTGTGTTTGAATTTTCCAGACACACGTACAATCCTGTATTCAACTAACTGCAATTCTGCTGTGGGCTCATACAGAAAGGAGGCAGGCTGTATTGTGACACTGACATCTTGGTGTAATGCTCCTTGATCATGTTCACAAATTCACAGTTTCAAAAGTTTTAAGGGACCCCTTAAATTGTCATGTTAGATTTGTTCAGACATCAGACATTCCACGTTATTAGGCTTTTGGAAAGGCAGTGATCCTTTCTTGGGGTTTTTTTTTTTTTTTTTTTTTTTTTTTGAAACTAAGTATGGATTGTCATTGTAGTTTTACTCACTGTTCAGGTGCTGCTTGATCTCAGTACAATGGAAATTGTATGTGCGTAAATGTGGTTCCATGTATTTTGCAAGATTGACTATCATCTGTATGTAAAACCTAAAGTAACCTTTTATTGATGTTAATTGAAAAAAAAAATGTCTTACCACACTGTATCGATCCTGCTTGCAAAAATATTCCTCTTAAAGCGGTTGTTTTCTCCAAAAAAAAAAAAAAAAAAAGCAAAACAAAAAAAATTCTGTGCCTGGCTTTCTCTTGCAGCCTCTATTTTCATTATGGTGGCAGCACCTGCTTGTTTCTAGAAAAAACTTAAGAACGAGTTAGACCAGACGAACCCAAATAGCTAAATCTCGACCTCAGTTTTTACCCCAGGTGCATTTCTCTGCTGTTAAAAGATTGCTGGTGTGAATGATTGCCTCAAAAATCAGGTCTATTCTGAAGGTGCAATTCGGAGAAGCCCAATCCATCACTTTGGAAAAGAAGCTCAGTGTCACAATACCATGTATCACCACTACATTCCACATATTGTAGTTGAAGACACCATTCCACATTATAGCTGACAGTCTGTTTATTCTGACAATGCTCCAATGAATTGAAATAATCTTATGTTTGAAAAAAAAAAAAAAAATCATGTCAGTTTATTATTATGCTTGATGAAAAATGCAGTTAGTGAATGTGGAACGAAGCCTGTCTGTATATCAGGTATCTACTTGCTTTGTTTTTACTGACAAGTCTTATGGCTAAAAATTTGCTTCTGTAACAGTCTATTACCCAGTGCACACACGTGGTTGTGAAAATTTAGAATAGCTCTAAAAAGCAATGACGAAATGGAGATAAACAATGGTTGGTGTAATTCTAGCTTTGTGTTTATGTATCTTAAAACCATTCTAGTTTCACTATACATGTAAGAAATAGGAAAGTGTCAAAGACCATTCAGTGAAATAAAGTTTCGTTTAAGATAACAGGCAAATTACGTCTTCATTTTTCTTCACAAGGAGTATTTTCTTAATTAAATCCTGGCAAGGAATTTTTTTTTTTTTTTTAAATAAAGATAGCAGAAAATCACTAAGATTCGTGTGACAAGTCTCCGCCTTCCCTTTGCCACTAGAGGGCGGGTTTTTAACGAATTTTAGCCCCGTCGAGTGCGAGAACTAGTTCTCATCGCGGAGTGACACGCAAGAGCCTTCTCACAAGCTTAATTGGAACAGCGATACGCGGAGGAGCGAGGCAGGTGTTCCACGGCCATAATTAAACGAAAACAACCTCCCGCCCTTGTGGAAAAGTGTGATCGGCGCTCACAACCTGCTGCACGTAAAAGTCATACCTCAGATTTACGACGCACTGGCCATTTAAAACCTGTAAGTAACGTTGATTTGAAGCGATAATCCATCCGTGTGTTTAATTGGGATTTGGCTGCTTCACCTGCAGCAGTGTTGATGTGAAGTTCACAAAGAAAGGGTGTAAGTTTAGCTAACTTTAGCTAGCTCTACAAATGTTTTTTTATTTATTTTATTTTTTGCCAAACATATCAATATTTTTTTTAACTTTTAATGAATTTTAATTCATCTTTCAGAAGCCCTAGCTTGATATGTGTATTTAAGATATGTTATCATTAGGTGATTAAACTTAATTACGTTAGGTTAAAGTTAACATGAGTCACACCCTTTCTCTCTTGACATGTTTTTTTCCATATTAAGATCCCCATTAACCATACATGCACTCAGTTACCACTTTATTTGGGGCATCTAGTCAAAACTTATGCAGTATTTTAATCCTATCTTCATAATTTTAAGTTTTTGTTTAAAACTGCTTGTTGAGATGTGTTGATGAAACTTCAGGATCATTTTGGAGGATGTATTTTGTGGATTATACAGAGAGATGTTTGTGTTATTTACTCCACCCTCATTTATATAAATGGGATGGACCTAATAAACTGGTGATTGAGTGTATAAATCGTCCACGTTTCTACCTGCATTGTGATTTATAGTAAAAACAAATCTTAACCAGCCATATGCACATTATAAAACCTTTTTCCAAGCAGGGACTAATCTAAGATTATTTTTTTCCTACTCTTTGCAGTTGGATGAATGCACTTTATAAGTTAGTGAAACTGTAGCTTAGTAGCTAACGTTCAAACAAAAACAGAATAATAACTTTCATAAAGGTAGAAACTGGGCAGAGCTGTTATCAGGGGTGCACGATGTGGTAAAACAACAACAACAACAACATCATCATTGAGATTGTTTTGACAGATAGTGCCATTATGACAAGACTCTTGATTAATGGGAATTAGCATTTTAGCATCACAATTGATGTGACATTTGTTGGGTCTTTTCCAAACATTGTTGTTTTGGTTTTTTTTGCACTTGGCCATATTGTGATTTCAGTAACATTTTGAGTAATTATGCAACCCTAGCTATTGTATAGGTTTGCATTGGATGTAACTTGATGTACATAATAAACTGGCAACTATAGCCTTTGTGTGTAAGAGTGTAGCTTTTCTACTGTTGAACTTTTAATCTGGAACAAACACAAACTCTATTCAGTAAGGACCGCTCATATCTATTTTCTGTCTTGAACTAGCTGTTACCCAAGATGAACAGCAGCAGTGGACAAGCGTATCCCCTCGCTTCTTTGTATGTAGGAGACCTGCATCCTGATGTTACAGAGGCCATGCTCTACCAGAAATTCTCTCCTGCTGGACCCATCATGTCAATCCGTGTGTGCCGGGACATCATCACCCGCAGATCTCTGGGATATGCCTACATTAACTTCCAGCAACCAGCTGATGGTATAGTACTTATTGAGGCCAAGTTAAAACTGTGAAAATGCTGTTTTTTATCACTGTAAAAATTAATTTCAATGAACCATAGCATAAATAAAAACACTGAAATGTTTAACCAAGTGCCTTGCTACCTGTGACTATGATTTTAATATATGATGTAAAATAAGAAACTCCCTGAATTTGAGCATGGAATAAAAGACAAAAGAAGACAAAAAGAATTTAGGAATCATTGGATGTTATTATGATTATCTGGCAGATGGATTAGCTGATACTAGCTCATATTCATTACACTGAACAAAAGTTTTTCAGAAATGATCCTGTGAGAAATCTCACTGTTTAGTTTATGATTAGAGAAAATTACTTTTTTCAATCTAGGACATTATATATATATGTGTGTGTGTGTGTGTGTGTTTGTGTAAAACGGAAACAAAATACAGTAAAAAGATCTTTGTGTATGACTAAAAGGAGATCTTGCTGGTTATGTTTTTACATTGTTTTTCAGCGGAGTGTGCCCTGGATACGATGAACTACGATGTCATCAAGGGTCGACCTATCCGAATAATGTGGTCTCAGCGTGACCCGGGACTCAGGAAATCTGGTGTGGGAAACATCTTCATCAAGAACATGGATGAGTCTATTGACAACAAGGCACTGTATGACACCTTCTCAGCCTTCGGCAATATTTTGTCCTGCAAGGTCAGTGGCCCTTGTGACTACTGCGTTGTTGTCGTAGCTCTCTGGTCTTAGAAACATGTTTGTTTGTACAGTGTGTGCATGATGCTAATGTTGCACTGAATATTTAGCAGATGTTGTAGGGCTATACAGTATGGTTTAAGTCAACATTAATATAAATGTTGCATTAAACAACATATCCTGAGGTGGTAAATGTATGCAAAACGCTATGAACATAACTCATGATCAATGCAGTGAACCCTTGTGTGATTTTGATGCCTTTTTGTCTTTTTGTAGGTTGTTTGTGATGAGAAAGGGTCCAAAGGTTATGGCTTTGTTCACTTTGAGACTCATGAGGCTGCGAACCGTGCCATTGATACCATGAATGGGATGCTGCTGAATGATAGGAAAGTGTGAGTGAACTAAATACGTTGGAAAAAAAAAAAAAAAAACTGGTGCAATCAAACAAAATGCAATTTAAAATAAGCAAGTTGAGGCAAAGAGTAGTGCAGAATGTAGAGTGTATATGTGTATATTAACTATATAAACTGTTACTGAATGCTGATGACTCTGATGACTCTTGAAGACGCCACAGACTTTTTGCAGATGACTGTTCCATGTGTCTTTTTTGCTCAGTCAAAAGACACGTAATCATTTGGAATCTGGCATTGTCAACGCAAAGGCCCATTTCCTGGGAGAAAAATGTCAGTTGTCCATTCTTAGGTCAGTGAGTAGGTAGGATGTGTGTCTAGATTTGTTGTGTGTGTATATTGTATTGTAATTTAAGAGGCAAAGCAAGATCATCAGAAGGCTATTATGTCCCTACAGTGTAGGAGAAATAAAGATGCATTAACATTTGACTAAAAGCTTGACTTGATGATTATCTTTGTGACTTTTAAAGTCTTAGCTTGTTCGCATTTTGTTCTTGATTTCTGTCCTCATCAATTTCTGAGACTGTGTTCTGAATCCGAAGTCACATTTTATCGTCACTGTGCAAAGTCAAGTTTTTAACTAACTTGCTTTCTTTTATCTCTTCGTCATTGTTTCTTGGTGATGGGTTTGGTTCTATCCGCAGCTTTGTCGGCCACTTTAAGTCCCGCAAGGAAAGGGAGGTGGAGTTTGGGACCAAAGCTATGAAGTTCACCAATGTCTACATCAAAAACTTTGGTGAAGACTACACTGATGAGAAACTCAAGGAACTCTTCACTGCATTTGGTAAGAAAGCGTAATGTTTTTGTTCTTTCTACTCAGTTAGGGGCCTCTCCTCCAATAAATTGATTGCCACAGTTGGTAACATATTACATTTCTATGCATATCAGATAGTTACAGGCTGGTTTGTGCTCAAACTCTCAGGGAGGACTCTCAGTGTGCGGGTGATGAAGGACGAGAGGGGCCATTCACGAGGATTCGGCTTTGTGAACTACGCTAACCACGAGGATGCTCAGAAGGTAGCGCGTGCCAAGTTTCTGTGTCCTCTTGAATTGGGTGCCTGCCAACAGAACGGTTAATTATACTGACATTTAGAGCCAAGTTGGCTACATTTTCACCAATAATACCACCCCAGTGTTGATGAGTTAGTTGATTCAGTGTTGATACGAAAACTCACACAAGTAACACGTTGATGCTCCTCTTGTGTTCCCAGGCAGTTGATGAAATGAATGGAAAGGAGATCAATGGGAAAGTCATCTATGCGGGCCGTGCTCAGAAGCGGCAGGAGCGCCAAGGAGAGCTCAAGCGCAAGTTTGACCAGATCAAACAGGACCGGATCCAACGCTATCAGGTGCTGAATCATCGTTCGCTTGTAGACAGATGATACAAGGGGTTAATTTGTTTCTGTCCTATTATATAAACTGTTGTCAATATGGCCAATAATGAACCAGAGAGCAGAGTGCTACTCCAAAACTGTTTTTTTGAATAGCCCACAGTTTAATGAATTAGATTTTCAGTTTTGAATGGCTCTTGTCCCAGTGCTGTCTTTGTTGTCTTTTTCAACTTGGCAACTTAAATACTTCTGGAATCAGTAACACACATCCCTCAGTCCAACAGATTAACTTTGTAAGGGCAAAAAATAGGCTTTTGATACATCTGTGTACGTCAATATAAAGGTACAGGATAGCTGGTAAGCTTAAGACTAGAAACGGTGAGTTTGACTCTGTCCAAAGGTAACTAAATCGAACTACTAACGCCTCTAAAGCTCACTCATTAACAGGTTATATCCTGGTGCATTTTCCTGGTGTCAGAATGGTTTGGAAGCGTGAACATTTCTCACTCTTTCTGGTTCCAGGGGGTGAATCTGTATGTGAAGAACTTGGATGATAGCATAGATGATGAGAGGCTGCGGAAGGAGTTTGCCCCTTACGGCACCATCACCAGTGCCAAGGTAATGTGATGAGATAAAATTACATAAAATAATGCTGCCTTTCCTTCTTTTTGTCTGAGGATGCGGTCGTCGGGTTTAAATAGGCTTCATTGGAACTATCACTGAACAAAACCGACCAGGGGTGCAGTGTTAATGTTCAGCCCATGTTGTGGTCGGTCAGTGGATCCGTACAGCGCGAGCATAAAAATCTAGTCTACAGATCTGATACGTTTCTGAACTTGAGCTTCTTTGCTTCCTGTAGGTGATGACAGACGGCTCCCAAAGCAAGGGCTTTGGCTTCGTCTGTTTCTCTTCACCTGAGGAAGCAACAAAAGCAGTAACTGAAATGAACGGGAGAATAGTTGCGACCAAACCACTGTACGTGGCTCTGGCTCAGCGGAGGGAGGAGCGGAAAGCAATCCTGACCAATAAATACATGCAGAGACTTGCTACCCTGAGGACCATGACAAGTCCGATCATTGACTCGTACCAGCAGGCTGGATACTACATGACCGTACCACAGGTATGGACGTTTGAACAATGTAAAATTCATCACGTTGAAATCACAAACGTCTTTTTTTTTTTTTTTTTTAATTTGTGGAGCTAAATAAATCCCTATTAGTGATATATTATTATTTAATTTTTTTCCCCTCACAGTACCTTCAAGTAACTTATTCGGTGGTTGACCCTCAATATGATTCCATTAACTAATATTTATCTTGCAGCCTCCCGCTCGCTCCTTCTACAACCACAATGCTGTCAGCAACATGAGACCAGTACCACGTTGGACAGGGCAGCCACCCAGACTACAGGGTAAATGGATCCTTTTGTTTTATGTTCACGTGGATGTAGGTTCAATCGCAGTGTGTATAAACGTCGTCTCCCATGTTGTCAGGCCCCTACACGACCCAGTTTGTCGGTAGTTCAGCCCCTCGACGCGGATCGACCCCGATCGCCACAGTCAGACAGGCTTCCACCCAGGCTCCGCGCATCGTGAGCTCCACACAAAAGACAAGTGAGTAACAGATTTGTGATAACACGAAAGGCTCCGTTCGTCAAAAGATGTGCCATTTACATACATGGTAGCATCTGACAGGTGTAATGTCTTCATTTAGATAACATTGGGACCCAGACTGTAGGAGGGCGTACTGACATGCCTGGTGTGACAAGGGGCGGCCAGTACAAGTACTCCTCTGCAGTGAGAAACGTCCAGCAGGTCATTACTATACCGGCACCCATGACAAGACTACAGGTACTTTAGTCTGTACTGAACGGTCTAATTGTAGTGCTACATGATTAGGCTAACGCTACTGTAACAGGCTTTCTGTTCCAACTATCTTGCATCATAAATAACATAGGTCTATGTTAGTTAAATTTCCAAACAGTCATCACATGAGTTAGTCTCATGTTCCAAAACACATCCAAAAACAAATAGTTTGATTACGTTGTGGTTAGGACAGTAGTAAGCTTACTAATATTATCTTAGCATGAAGAAAATAGAACCAACATTAACATTAAGATGGCACTTGGCACTGGGGAGCTTTAATAATGTTACACAAGTGGAATTTGGAGTAACACGTACACCAGCTGACGTTTGGGAGTCCATGGAAATAACTAATGTTATATCCAAATTGTGATGGCTAGCGTTTGCGTATCAGGCTCATTAGATTGACACGAATCGCACAAATGACCCACCTTGGATTCAAAACGCAGATTTTCGCAGAAAGGTGACAGGTTTGCACCCCTGTATACTCTCCAGGTTGTTCCAGCACCTATGATGGAGCCACCGGTGCACATTCAAAGCCAAGAGCCACTCACTGCCTCGATGTTGGCTGCAGCTCCACTCATGGATCAGAAACAGCTCCTCGGTTTGGCATCGTTCCTTTTTGTTCTTTGTTTGTTTTTATGCAGATTAAAGCGACTTGTGTATTTGGTTGCTAACCCTCTCTCTGCTGTGATAGGAGAGCGGTTGTACCCACTGATCCATACCCTTCACCCAAACCTGGCTGGAAAAATCACTGGGATGCTGCTGGAGATCGACAACTGTGAGCTGCTGCACATGCTGGAGACGCCAGAGTCCCTGCACTCTAAGGCATGATTATGTTCACATTTAACAGACTGTCTTATACTCTTACCATTACATAGTTGCCATTCAGGGATGGGGCAGATTACAAGACAAAATAATTTGATCCCCCCCATTTTCTAGTCTTAATGCTAAGCTAAGTGTCTCATTCACCATACAGACATGGGAATGGTATAGATGATGAGACCGGCGTTAGCGAATGATCTTCTTTCTCTCCTTTGGTCAGGTGGACGAGGCGATCGCTGTCCTGCAGGCTCACCAGGTGAAGGAATGCTCTCCGAAGAAGTGAAGAGCCCTTTCAGGTCAGAAACAACTTCTCCTCCTCTGTTGAGAGACAGCTGTGAAAGGATCCCTTACAGCAAGTATGTGTTTTATCATCGGCTGCAATGCCCATAAATGTTTAATTAAGGTTTATTTTATTTTTTTTCTAATTATGTCCTGTTGTGGAAAACTCGTCATTGCTCCCCTCAATCCCAAGTGTTTTTTTTTTTTTTTTTTGCATTTGTGTCAAGCTACAGTATTTGCTTGTTTGGTTAAATGAAAGTACATTAAATTGAGTGAAAGATCAGGGATCGGCTGTTGTAAAATGATGCCCAAAATTCAGAAAGAATCCTGCACAGCTGTGCTTCATACAAAATGTGCTGAGTTGCAGACACTTACACACTGAGTATCACCGCAAAAGACTTAACCATGTCCATGTTTTTTCCAGATGTCAGCGACTTTCTGGAGGAGGGGAAAAAATTGAAAAAAAAAAAAAAAAAAATTTTGAAAAAGAGGAAAAAGAAAAAAAAAACTAAAGAAAAAATGTTCTATGTAGATTAAATTGGCAGTAAAGAGAGATTTGTGAAGTTAAAACTATTTTGTTGATGCAGTACCTTTTGTTAGAAGATAAAGTTTACAGTATATGCATTAAACCTGTCTTGTGTCATTTGTTAAACGTACAAGGACTTTCTAACTGGTTATGAAACTGTCTCAATTTATTACTGATGGCTTTATGTGACCTACATAAACAATGTTCCATCAGAGAGAAGATTTCTGTATAGTTATAGCCTGCCCCCGGGTCACATTCAGTTGGACTGCCCATGAAGTCAGACGAAGAGGTGGCGGACACTACTGCTTTTATTCACAGGGGCCGCTGGAAGAACTTTACACACTAAAGGTCGATGCAGCAGTGCGTCTACTTTAGGTTTAAAATTGTGCTTGTCCCCATTTGTTGTCCACGTCTCAAACCTACGTCAACAAGGGACACAGAGGTGAGGTTTTTGACTTAACGTGGAAAAATGATGATTAACTGGTTGTTTTGTCAAATGTTTGGTTAAGGTCCTGAGCTTTTCTGTGAGACTACTTTCTCCAATTCAATGAGAGAAGACTCATTGTGATCAGGGATCTTGGTTTGTGCCTGCTGCCGTGGTCTTGCTTGATGCCCATTGCTTCAATATTGTTATCATCATTATTAGTTTTTGCTCATGTCCATATCTTCCCCCTTTTATGAGAGTCATAAAGTTGGCAAACTTGTTCAACAATGACCGTTACACCGCCGTATCTAGAGAAAGCAAACATTAGCCGCTGCTTATACTCTACCAGACCCAAATGAGGTCGTGGATGTGGTGAATTGAGGAAGGGTGTGTTTTTTTTTGTTTATGAATTCAGTGTTTTATTTGTAAGAGGAACGATGTGCCATTTCATCTTCTAGGTTCCACAATTTAACTTTACAGTTGTTTGGTTTAATTCATTCATTTGTATAGCGCCAATTCATAACAGAAGTTATCTCAGGACACTTTTCAAATAGAGCAGGTCTAGACCAAACTCCTTATGACATTTAATGATATCACTTGGTTCATGTCTCCCTTGTATAGTATGTAAGACCTTTTTATTATAAAATCATAGGACATATTAGCCTTTGTAGTGGATAAAATGCTCTTTAATATGGTGGCAGCAAATTCTGAGTGAGGAGAGACAAAATCAGGCAGCATGAGGAACTTAAATTAACTCCTAATATAGTTAATAGCTTTCTTCTGACCATGTAGAGTACATGTTTTATTAGTTTGGTATGTAATTGAACCACAGCCAATGTATACTCAATCTCAGTGGCCATCAATAGATATATGTAAATTGTCACATCAAATCTGGTCTTAAGTTTGTTTAACAGTACAAATGTGAAGTTATGGTGGGGTGAAACATGCCCACAACAAATCTGAACAAGTGATTCCGATTTTCTGACTGAGCCCCCCAGCAGGGGGCAGTTATTACGTGAGGTCACATTGATTTACAACACGTCCTCTGTTGTCCAAAATGGTAGAGGCTCCTATTCAAATCCAGTCTGCTAAAGAAGTTATTAAAACGTGTTTTAATTAAGACTTCACAAAAGCTTTTTTAAATTAATCCTGGGATGACAAACTCACAAAAAGTAGACTAACACAAACTGAATTGTCAAATTTGCCAAAGTTTATTGGGAGCCTTCATACAAAAAATGAAATTATGGCTGTAAAAAGTTACAAAGGATTATTGTTGACATTGATATACTTTTGGCATTTAAGGCCTATTAACCCAACACGTTTCTGTAACTCTTTGCAATTTACTTTAAATCTAAAACTGTTGATTTAAACAAGCAGATAAGACAGTAATATTTAAAAACATACAGACCAATAGATACCTGCAGATTACTTCTCAGTGGTAGTTTACAACACAAAACCACAAAAAATCTGAAAAGCAACTCAAAAAAACAAAAACAAAGAAGAGAACTGCCTAATTTTCAATGTGAACACATGAACTTGAGGCAACTTTTATTACACACAGCCAACTAATTTCAATGCGTCTGTCTCAATGACATTTCCATGAATGCAAACAAATGTATTTACACTGACTTTCATAAGCATGTCTCAGACTATCGACGTTGCGGCATTAGAAGCTGCTTTGCTGTTACTGAATCGGGGAAAAGGTTGTGGTAGGTTGGTAAGGGAACGTAGGCAGCGGTTATCATCTTGCCTGGAAGGAAAGAATGAGGGAAAAAAGAAAATTAACACCCCTTTGTTGTTATATTTGATATGCAAAACCAAATGGCAACATTACATACCTGCAAACCAGCGTCCATGAAGTGCATTTACAGTTGCCATTGCTGCTGGTATTGAGGGACACTTCACGTACACATTACCCTGCGGGAAAAAGAAACGATTGTCACTCAGGTTCCAGCTTTCTTATCCATTTTCTAGTTCAGTGAAGTCTGTGGGGCGGCTAGAACAATATTTTCTCTTTGATGAACTAGAGATAAGTGCAATTTGTTTTTGTATTTAAGCTCTTGAATATCTGTAACCATCAACTTACTTGAGCAGAGTTCTTATCAACATAAATGTGAACAATTCCTCCATGTTTGTTGCACTCCTCAATAACATCATCTTGGATCTCGATGGCCCAGCTGGGATCGTTTTCTCTGAAAAACATGTTTGGTAATGTTTAAAATCAAGTGGCTTCAAAAGCTGACAGATAATATTCCTGAAATGAGAATTTAATAAAAAAAATGGGTTCACATATTTTGAAGTCTTTCTTAAAAGATAATGCTGACTTGCCCACATGTATATTGAAAGCTGGTTGCTGTAACTTCGAGTCTCTAAATGCTTCCCTCAATACAGACCGAGTACTTTCGTCTGTTTTCGTTACTAAAACTGGGTGAAAGCAAGAGTTTTAAAAATACCTGCATTGCAGAACCAATACTAGTCTTCGGGGCAGTTACTTGCAGTTGTGTTCTTGTAAACTGTCCTAACAACCTGAAAACATAATGCCTTAGGGCGTGGCTATCGCATCAAAAAACTATTTCAATGTACATATGGGCATGTAAGTATTGTTTTAAGAAAAGCTTGAAAAAAAAAAAAGTGAACCTATCCAAATGACGATGTCCTTACGCTTGTGGGTTGAACAGGTTGGACAGCTGAAGGCAGTGTGTGGCCAGCGGCTGTGATGGGAGGTTCAAGGCTTGACTTGGAGCAGGAGTTGGAACAGCTGAAACAAGAGAATAATGATGTGTCACTGCAAAAAATAAACAAACGCGCACACACACGCGCACGTGTTTCTCATCATCTAGACCCTCACCTGCTGGAGCAGCGATGTTTCCAAAGGGTATGGAGCCGGTCATCTGTAGAGCCTGCTGAGCAGCCGGAGGAATCTTCAGACCAGTTCCTGTGGAGAGAGACAGAGGCTTAATTTAAAAAAACTAAATCTAACGATTGCTTCGCGATGCTGACAGAGATTGTGACATTTAGATGAAATCAATAAATGAAAATTCCTTTCTGTGTCACAGCAGTCAAAAAATTTAGAAAGTAAATATTCAAAGCTGTTATTTACATGCTGTGTCTCGTTTACAATTCAGAGAAAATCAGGGTTGGGTTTCGGATCAAAATCTTTTCTTTTTTGGACACCTAGTAAGAAAGAAAAGTAGGAAACTAGGAAAAGTTCAGACACCTTAAGCCATAAAGATGTAGGGCTGCAACAAATGATTATTTTCATTACTGATTAATGTGCTGATGTCTACAGATGTCTTGTATTTTCTGACCAAAAATCCCAAACCCAAAAGATAATCATTTACTATGATATATGAAGATAAATAAGCATAATAAGCACTGAAATTAGTTGTTGGGTAAGTCAACCCAATCATTTCATTGGTAGAGCGGTTGTATTTACAGACACATGAACTCTTGTAATCTTTTTCTTTTAATTAGAAATTGGATCCATCAATGTGATTCACGCAAAGCCACAAACACGACACAGGTTAGAACGAACCTTCTGCTAGTCGAGCCATAAGCTGTAGGCGCCCTGTGGTGCCGAGGTCAATGCCAGTTCTCTCTAGTTCGTCGTTGTCCAGGAACGAGCTGGCTGTCGATGAGTCTGAGCGCTCTGTAACATGCCCCACCTTCATCGGACGTCCGGCCAGCTCAAAGCCATTCAGCTGCTCCAAGGCCTTTTTTGCACATTCTGCATCTGCAAACTTCAAAGCACAACAAACCGGAGGGAGGTTAGAGTCATACTAGCTGCAAACATTAATGTACTGTCAGCGATGTAAAGATGCATTAATTACCGATATAAAGCCATATCCTTTGGACCGTCCAGTCTCGCTGTCCATCATCAGCTGGATTCCCTCAATCTTTGGAAACAAAACACACCATTACAAAAGACTGTAATGAATAAATCTACAAGACTAGTAAAAACAATTACTCTTGAAACTTGTTCCTGACCTTTCCAAAGGGCTCAAAGATCCCTCGAAGCATTTCTTCAGTAATGTTGAAGTGCAGCGATCCCACGTACAGCCTCATTGGACCTGAACTGCCTTTCTGTAGATTATTGGCAGCAGCTGCCGCTCTGTTCTTCTCTGCCTGTAATTACATTAATGGAATTATGTCAATTCAGTACATCAATCTGTAAGTGCCTAATTTGTGCTAACCGAATGTAATCTGATGTAATTCTATGGCATATAAAAAATGTTAAGCTCTAGCTACAGTTCTAACATGGTTTTGTACAATATTCACAAACATTTCATCACAAAAATTAATGTGTCGACAACTAGACTGCTCGTTAGGAGGAAATCCAGTTGTCCATATTTAGATTAAGTTACCATAACCTGAGAGGCCTGGACAATGATGGGCACTCCTAAAAGCCTCTGGCCGGTCAATCCAATTGCCAGTGGTACAGATGAAGCCTCCACAAACTCGATGTACGCAATGCCCTTCGATCTCCTGGAGTTTCTGTCCGAAATCATTCTCACGTCTCTTACCTACAGAGGGAAACAGTGACCATTTAAGATACAATTTCCACTTACAGGCTTGCTGAATTCTACATGACAATATCGTGAACATCGACTCACTTTTCCGACAGCTGAGAAGAAATCTTCCAAGTCTCGAGCTCTGAT